AAAAAGTTCACTTTCCTCGTACTTTGCGGTGTATACACACCAAAATAAACGTTTCGACAAACTTAAATAGTTTGAAAGCTTCAAATGATTTACTTTTGTGTCAATTAAACAAATTGTATTATTTTTGTGTCAATTCAACTTGCAAATTGCATGCATCTAACCTTCGCAGGCCCGTGCGTAATGCGCTCAAGTGTATGTACACCCCGTCGAGTTCAAACGGACAAAATAACTTTTGTTGCATTTAAAACACAAATTTAAATTCTGGAAAATTTTTTTGTTATTGAGTAATGCATGCACAAAATGTGGGGCCTTTGCGCTGTCCATACACTGCAGATGCACGGTGTAAATGACCAACTGTTAATTAGCTAATTATTTTAGTTCAAATGTTTTATATCTTTGCCACTTTGAACTTTGAAAAAAAACAAAGTCTGTGCATGCATGCACTTTGTTCAGTTCAGGCTTTCTGTGGTTTGTTATGGCCTCTAAGAAAAAAAAGTTTTGTTTTAAAATTTAAAGAGTTTCGGATTTCCTAAATATAAATATTTTAAAGGCTCGACTTTTTGCGAGCGCATGCAGCAGCCCTACGAGTGCATGCATGCAAAAGAAAATTTATATATTTCACCGAAGCCCCAAGGATAACTGTTGTACAAAAATAAAATGAATTATAAATAATATTTTTTAAAGTTTGAATTTATTTTGTTTGTTAAGCGCATATTTCCAGTAATGTGAATTGAGGTGTGCGTACACTTCGGCCGTTCTGCGTGCTATTCAGCCCCACATCAAATTCACCCCAAAGCACATGCATGTTTGCTTTTGCATGCAATTATGACTCTAAATAAAATTAACTAATATAAATGTATAAAGTTAAATGCGTAGTCCCAGTATTTATGCATGCGCATGCACTTGCATGCCTTGCCAGGATCAAACGCGCATGCACGCCGTGTACGTACACCGCAGCCTCGAATATATTTCTGCGAAAGATAATACACATAAGAGAATTGCGAACAGCCGCGCAAGTATATTTAACGGATTTTTAATTTATAACTGTGTATCACGGAGAACAACTTTAAATGCATGCTTTGCTATCTGTATCATTTTGCAAATGATATAGATGAATGCAGATATAATAAACACGCAGACGCAGGTATATACATGCCGCCTGCCCATGCATGCATGCGCTACAATGCATGCATCCGAATGCATGCATGCATGCGGGAATACAATGCGTATTTGGGCATTTTAGGTCTGCATGCAGGTGCGGCAAATAAATTGCATGCGCATGCATTTGAAGAAGAAAGAAGGGCCTCTAGAAAGGCCAAGAGTTCTTTTCGCGCGAAAATAAAAAGATGCTTTTTGGGGCTTTTTTCCGCGAAAATGAACACATACCTTTCAGAAAAATGCATGCAAAGAGAACTGCTTTAAATGTCCTCTCCATGACAGGAAATGCGGATGCACTTGCGCCATTTAATGAAAAGAAAAGGGCCAGTGTTTTCTTTAAAATGTTTGCGAAAAGAGAAATGAAGAAGCTGGTGTGTTAGGGTTGCTGTGCGCGCGGTGTATGTACAGACACCTGAAGTGCAGTGGGGCTGCGAGCTGTCGGCGGGAATGCCCTAAAGTCCCAAAAGAAATGAATTTAAAATAAATAAAATGAAAATAGAAATATAAATGGAATTATAAAGGCAAGTAAATATAAGCTGAATTGGAAATGAGGTTTGGGCGGCTCCGTGGGTTAAGCTACCCCAGCGTCCGCCAGAAATAAAAAAGAATATTTATCTGGATATTCAATAAATAGAGAAAATAAATAATTAATTAGTTCAATAGTTCTTTTTAATAGCTACCAATGTACGTAATTTGGAGTATATTTGTGCAAAAGATATCTCTATATTTTCATTTATTTATTTAGTCAGACAAGTTTACATACACACGTATGCGGGCAAACAAGGACGCGTTAAAGGCAGGAGTAAAATCCAGATCTTTTCAAGTTCGAAATATTTAAAGATGGTCTTTTAATGCATTTATAAATATATTTGGACCTGCAAGTTTTTAAATGCATCAAAAGTTCTTTCTAAAGCACTTTGCGCATGCAGCAAGCTGCGCATACACCCCAAGTTAGACTTGCAGAAAGCCGCTGCTGCGCATGCATGCATGCGGCGTTTTCTTTGTAAGAGTCTGACTAAAGAGAAAATCATTAAGTGCATTTGCATGCATTTGTGGATGCATTCCGGTATTTATTCTTGCATGCAAGTGCCCGTGCATGCACGAAGAAAAATAATAATAAAATTCTCCGGGGTCCTTTATTTGCATGCATGCACCCGAACAAATCCGTCTTTTAAACATCTGGGGCCTTTATCAAATAAAATGCACAATAGTATATAAAATCTATTATATAAATATGCAATATAGATATATAATGTAAATATATAATATATATTTGGGCAGTTCATCGTAATTTCTGTGAATGAACATTTCCATTTATTTACGTACATTTGCCTATTCCACATATTCATATATTTCTGTATATTTGCATAAGTCGAGGAATCTGTATTATATATATATATGTATATGCACATATATATGTGTATAGGCAATATATAGTAGAAATATAATCTAATATATATATATATAAATGTAAATATACATATATATATATATTTAAACCCAAATGCATAATATGTATATATATATAAATGTAAATATACATATATATATATATATAAACCCAAATGCATAAATGTATACTAATGTGCAAATGAACAAATAAAAGTGCATTTCGGCGCCGACGAATTTGCTGAAATATCTGCATTTAAGTTGCATGCATGCGCACTTGCAAATGTTTACAATATGCGCATATTATGCACAATATTATAATAATATTGTGGCAACATTATCACAATATCATGGCAATACTTTCGTGACATTATGGTAATATCTTAATAGTATTATGGTAATATTGGTGTTGTGGTGGCATAATGGAAATATTATGTAATGTGGTAATATTATATGTACCTATTATGTGCAGTGTTACCTGCACATGGATAATATAATTTTAATCTGTAGTATTTTTTGTTTATTATTTACTATATTTATATCTATATGCATTTTTAATTTACTTTTCGTTTAAGTCTAATATCATTTATAAAGTGTGTACATATCTGAAGTACTACTTAAGCATTATGTCTACCTGCATCAGATTGTTTGGTTATTATGTCTAAACGTATAATACCATTTATTTATTATTTATGAATGAATAGTATTATGTATTTATTATGTTTATATACATGCATAATATTATTCATATATTATATATATATTTGTGCGCTTTGCATTATTATGTGTATATATGCATATTACCATTTATTTACCATGTACATTTGCATAATACTTTTTTTATTATGTACATATGTATAACATTACCTACTTATTTATTTACGCGAATACCTACAAGTCCAAATCAGCAAACTATACCTTTTGACTAAGTTTAAATAACAAAACCTTTTATGTACTTTTACACACATATATATATGTAGTAGGTACTATATGAAGTATAAAGTATAAGTAAAATATATGAATAAAAATATATATATATATGTATATATATGAATATACATCAACAAGCAAACTGTAGTGGGACATTCATGTATATACCTAGATGTATATGAATATATATACAATATATATATATATAAATATATAGATATATATAGTATATTTATATGAAACTGTAGTATATATATACCTTTATGTGCAAATATAGTGTATTAATATGAATAAATATATTTGGTATACTGATATATAGTATATATATACCTTTATATACAAATATATATACATATGTACAATAACCTATATTTATCTACATATATACACATATAAACGTACATTTATATGCATGCACATTTATATATATTTATGACACACATATATACCTTTTAAACGATAAATGCACTTTTAGAGGAGGAAATATAGACATATACAGATAAATGTCATATTATATTCACCCATAGTCGTAGACATGTGCAAATGTTCACGAAGCATATACACCTGAAATACCCGCCGCAGCGGTGTCTGTACACCCCAAAATGCATGCATGCACGCGGTGTATCGACACCCCGTGAAAACGAGGAAAATTGCAGCATTTGAAGTTATTCAAAACTATTTGCCGTTTCGATGAGTCTAAGAATTAAATGGAGAATAAAGACAGCCAAAATGAGAAGAATATTTCAAAATAATTCACAAAAAGAGGAAGAAATGGCATTTGCAAGTGGGAGTAGTGCAGGACAAAAGCAAGTGGAGAAACGAAGAAGTGTCTTTTAAAGTAAAAAGAAAGCGGCAGAAAGCAAATGGAAAGGAAATAGAATTAGGAAAACAGAAAAACCAAATAAATGAAGAAATAAATAAATACCTTTTGGGGCCCCGCAGGCAACTTCTTCGCCAACTACCGCCGGGCCAAATAGCAGCCTGGGGGCCCCCAAGTGCACCAAAGGCAAACAAATGCGCCGAAGCTCCTTTATGCACTTTACCACATTTTTAATAAACCATTTTGCATGCATGCAAATAAAGGAATTAACATTTATGGCACAAATGCCAGTAACGCCTGCCCGCGGCCTGAGGTCCAGGCAAAAGTGCCTTCTTTGAAGTTCATTTCTTTTATTATTTCAAATGAGCCTTTTCAAACAAATGCCAAATTAGAAACAATAAAGCAGCATTTAAATCCAAACAAGCCGAAAAGAGGGGCTATGCGGGTCTTCACGGCTTCGCAGGGGTCCTTCGCTGCAAACCCTAAACCCTAAACCCTAAACCCTAAACTCTCGGTTACGTTTCTTACTGCGTGCCTTCTGGCCAGCATTCTATCTCTCGGGAGTTCCAGCGGCCTGTGTTTGGCTTCGAGGAGTTGCTGCTGCTCCTGTGCTGCAGCTGCTGGCTGCTGGCTGCTGTTGCTTGTTGCTGCTGCTGCTGTTCGCCGAGCTCCTCCTAGGCAGTCGTGCTGCTGCGGCTTGCGTCTACTGCTTCTGGTAATGGTACTGGTGTTGACGCTGGTAGTGCTGCTGCAGCAGCTGCTGCTCCTGCTGCACCAGCAGCAGCTGCTGCTGCCCCTGCTGCAGGAGCATTTGCTGGTGCTCCTGCTGCAGCAGCTGCTGCTCCTGCCCCTGCTGCAGCTGCTGCTCCTGCCCCTGCTGCAGCTGCTGCAGCTGCTCCTGCCCCTGCTGCAGCTGCTGCAGCTGCTCCTGCAGCTGCTGCTCCTGCTGCTGAAGCATCTGCCTCGCCTTCAGCAGCTCCAGCTGCCGCGCTACAGTCAAGCGGGAGGGCAGTCCTCCCGTGGGCTGCCGCTGGTGCGCTTCTCCCTGCAGCCGCTGCAGCCGCTGCAGCAGCAGCTTGTTTTCTTCGCTGTTGTGCTGCTGCTGCTCCTCGAAGTTCCGCTGCTGCTCCCGCTGCTGCCGCAGCTCGGCTCTTCGCTTTCGAATCAAAGCTCTCCTTTGGTGCTTCTGCAGCACTCTGTCGATCTCATCTAGCTGCTCCCTCCACCGCAGCTCTTCCTGTTCTTCAGTTTCTTGCTGCTGAGGCTGCCGCTGCAGGTAATCCAGCGGCAGCTGGTCGGGCTCCAGCCTCTGTGACTTCTTCTTCTTTTGCTGCTTGGGGCGCTTCCGCTGCTGCTGCTTCTCCGTTTCCTGCTGCTTCCGCCTGAGCTGCTGCAGCTGCTGCTCCTCCAGCTTCTTCCGACTCCGCATGCTGGCTTGTCTTCTTCTTTGAGCTTCGAGCTGCTGCAGCTTCTGTGCTGCAATCTGTTCCATTTGCTGCGCGGAGATTCGCTGCGGCTGCTGCTTCTTGAGTTCCCGCCGGACTTCTTCTGCTGTTTTGTTCTGCATCTCTGCAGAGATTTGCTGCAGCAGCTCGGGCTCCGTGAGTTCGCGCTGCTCATTTGCTGCCGCTTGCTGCTCGCCCTCGCCAGTTTGCTGCTGCTCGCCTTCGAGCGTTTGCTGCTCGCCACTGCGGGCTTCTTGCTGCAGCAGCAGCGCCTCTTCCCTCCGCCGCAGCAGGTCGTCGATGGAGAGCAGCAGCTGCTGCTCCCCGAGGTCTTCGTCGCGCTGCTGCTGCTGCTGCTGCTCGTCCGCGTCCGTGAGGCCGAGGCGCGGCTGGAGGGCGAGCGGCTCCTGCTGCTGCTGCTGCAGCTGCTGCAGCTGCCACTCCTGGTCGTCTCTCTGGAACTCCTTCCATTTCCCAAGACCCAGCCTGCGGACTGCTCCTTTGCAAAGGATCTTTTGCTTCAGAGGGACCAAAATGTAGGCTGGGGGCCGCTGCTGCATGCGGTAGAAGTTGAGGGCTTGCTGCAGCGCGAGAGCCAACTTGTTGTTTGCTTCTGCTGACAGCCGGTAAGCAGCAGAAGCTGTGGGGCCCTTGTAGTCCGGCAGGGCCCTCACGAGGGCCCCCCACCACTGGTCCCTCCTGGCGTGGGGCCCCAGGACAGCGCTGGCAGCAAAGAGTGCATCAGCGAGCAGCAGGGCGAAGGCCATGCGGTCGACGGTTTCCTTGGGCTTGAGCCGCCGCGCGTGCTGCTGCTGCTGCTGCTGCTGCTGCTGC